AAAACGTGATTTCGTCGATTTGTGTAATTTATGAAAATCATATGATAAAAAATCAGGTGTGACATCTCGATCGACTGGTAATGAAAATGGCTACGTTACAGTATAGAAAATTCAATCCACATTATTATACAAGATCTGTACCTGCTTCCAAAAACGGGCTTAAGCTACAACGTATATATACCGATACGTACGTACGTACGTACGTGTCGGCAGATTTGCACAGTCTAACGCTAATAAATAAAGAACCCATAATCGACAATTTTAACTGGAATTATAATCGATAGATTGTGCAAATCCGACATGATTTGTTTCTAACGCTAATAATAAACTTATACAGTAATCTTAACTAACAAATCGAATAATAGTTTTTAGGAATACCAATTAAAACCATTGACGGGTTGAATTTCTGTTCAACCAATTAGATTTGAGATCGTGTGTAACTTGAAATTAAGCAATTTTTTGAAAATTCAACATCTTGCTATGAAACTATCTTTCGTGTTCTAACAAAAAATAAATTCCTCGTCGAATTTTGATATAAACTATGCTCTAACCTCACACTAACACAAACCATAATATCAAGGTTTTATTACTTTGATTTTATTACACCTGATCTCGAAATTTGATTGTCGATCGCGATCGACAAAATGAAAAAAATATTCTATCTCAAAAAATTTTGCTTACGAAAAAATTTCTCACAATTTTGGTATAAACCTTACTTTAAATTCTAACCCAAACTTTATCCTCAAAATCAATTTAATGCAGTCCGATTCGATAAAGCCTAGCACAAATTTTTTACGTGTGATATGAGGAAATCTGGGAATTTTATTATCGTTATTATTATCTGTTATATCATCTTATACGTAATTTACAAATTACGTAATTTAGCACGATTTGTATTACATTAGATTGGTGCTTTTTTTTACCAAAACAAGGTCGTTTGTCTTTATTAAAACACGATTCAATTTTTTTTTTTGCGTCTGTCTCGCTTTTACGATCAGCAAGTAACAAAAAATCAAACAAACAAAAAAATCAAGCAACCATGAGAACTGTTATGTGTTTTCAAAACGTTTACTATATAGTAACTATCAAAGACGAAAATGATAATAACGATACGCAAAATGTCACTCAGCTCATCGAAGACGCCTGCAAGCATGAAAAATGCTTTGCCGGGATCTATGTGAACGACACCTGCACCAGGGCTTTCCGTACAGAAGTATTGAGAAATGATAAAAAGGTCAAGATTTATTATACAAGCGATCCCGAAAGTATTACGGAAATCTTTAAAGAATGTTATGAAGAAGAAAAAACAAAAGATCTCATGGAATTCTTGGAGGCTAAAGGAGTAACTGATCTCAGTAGTTTCTCAAGAAAATCTGATGAAGAATACAGAGAATTGGGATACGATAAAAACAGTCAAGGTAACTCTGGGGAAGCGAGAGATATCCAGCAAAGGCTCCTTGGTTTCTTGGAAGAGTTTGGTAAAAGCGACTTTGTCAAGAATAAATACGGGGAGAATGTATTTGAATTTGCTGTGTTTACCAAAAAAGATGATTAACTCAACTTTTTACTTTAAGATGGATATCTTAAAACTTGTTTTTACAATTATGTTACAAGCTTAATCATTAGTTATAATGTAAATATCTTAAGGATATTAAACTCATTATAAAGCTTATTTTCTTTCTTATTAAAGTTTTTACAATTAAATAAACTTGTGCAATTTTATTGTCTACGACTGTTAATAAGAATTTGGTTAGTTACTGTATCTATTAAAGCAAATAATAAATCCTATAAAAGTTAAAATCAAAGTAATTGCTAATCATCAACTCAAAATTTTGCACTTACGTTTGAAATAAACGGCAGATTGCGTAAGATATTGATCCGCGACAGATCTCAGATTTTATCTCTACAGTGATACGATCCTTTATTCTGATCATTTTAACGGATACGAAATTATCTACTCTTTTGTTTGTTTTGCGGAAAAGAAACATTAATCAGTAGCAAACAAAGTTATACGATTAATTATATTATTAATAACACATTTTAAAAATACAAGCTTTGGTTCATCGATCGAATCATTATTTCTTTTTTTAAAACTTGAAATGTCATTGTACAATCAAATTGATTATTGTCCGAAATACATACACACTTTAACTCAGTGAAATTATAATTAAGTTACGTTAGGCTGTGGGGGGTTGTCAAATTCTCCCAAAGGACATAATTAATAAAGTGGGAGGAGTTTCCGATAGACAAGTAATACGATAAACCTCTCGTTAATTTCCAACTATTATTATTAGTCATGTCTTACCCAATTAAATAATGATACTATAAAGTTCAATCTATAGTTATGATTGAAGCTAAACTGTGCATGAGTTACTCTCCCAACCGATCGTGACTTTCAATTTTCTCTGTGACATGATGTACGTACGTAGACTTTTGATTGGTTACATTTTTAGCAAAATTCAATTCATAAAAAAAATATAGTAACATAACACTGCATTAAACGATTAAAGTCGACTTTAATTTAGAAATGATTTCCACTTTCAATCTTAAATAACAAATCACATTGTTTGTAAACATTAAATTAAAAATAAAGTTAAGAAACGTGAAAACTGGCCCTTGGCAGTCGGAAACACATCAAGTTATTAATCTTGTGAGGAATGATCTTTTTTGTTAACTCCAATATTATTCATAAATGTTGATGTCATATCTTTTCGCGTAAACCCTTCTAAGAAATACATGTCACTGGATAAAATCGTCTTGAGTTTATTTTAACCTCTGATTCATTAAATCATTTAATTTGCTTCCCTCCAAATTATTGTGCAAAAGTTAAATTGATAGTACAAACCTTGATGTAACACGTCTTACGCTTCCCTTTCGATATTCTGATGAAATCCCACATGAACGATTAGAAATTTTTTGAAAACTCGGTTTTTCTCGCTTTCTTCGAAAATCTTACAAATTCAATCTTTTATGCAAAACTCGCAGATTCGATCATTGCAACGTAATTGTTGAATTTCGCAGTTGATTGATCCCTACGATATTTTACACCAAGCTTGTATCGACCAATTATTGATTTTGCCTGAAACTTGTGATATTTTCGATAGATAATGATTGTCATGGCTGAAGTTGGAAATGACTGAAGCTGGAAATTTTAAATCATTTAATATGAAATTTTCAATAGTTGTTTAGGATTTATGGTATAAGTGGATTTTGATAGAGCTTATATTTTTAAATCGAAGTACCTAATTTCCAGCTTCAGCCATTTTCGGCTTAATGATAATACTCAAACAGATCATCGAATAATCTAACACCTCAAGATAACATTTCTTGCTTGACAGAAAATATTTATCGAACCTTTTTAAACCCACAAAATAAAAACTTCTCGATTTCAAAAGAGTGTTCTACAGCATTTCTTCTCTAACATTTTGCTTTGACAAACATGCATAACATCTTCATCGATTAATATAAACCTGAAAAAAATTATCAATAATTGAGTAAAATGCATGTCCAAACTGCGTCTTTATGATTTCTTTCATTAATTCCTTGGTCGAGATCGTTGTGAATTCTCAAATAATGTTATAAATGTTTTAATTTTTCTTCGTCAATTCTCTACGCAAGATCAAAAGCAATTATGTGATAATCTGATGCGTTATCTCAAACCTGATAGAAACGAATTCATTGATCTTTTTTTGAGGTTGCTGATTTGAAACACTGAAATAAAAGTAAAAACACCCCTTGCATCACCAAGTTGCTTACTCATTTGCAAATTTCCACATGTCTGATGCTTTTCCACAGATTTATCCAATTCTTTTCTAAAAATAATGCTCTGAAGATTATGTTTAACTGAAGTTCATTCTCGTAACCTTCTTTGACGGTTATTCCTCGTTCATCAGATTCATGCTGTTTTTAGTTTGGTAATAGTAAACTCGACAATTTAAAATTGTTAATTTTTCGACCGCGGAATAAGGCCCTCCAATATGATTAATATGTCAACCTGATCCATTCTTTTGACGGGGCTAAGCTATAATTTTTTGTACAGACAAAAATTTGTCAATAACCCAATAATACTGTATTTATATTTGCCTCATTCTTTTTTTTAAACGTTAATAAATTACGTATTAACTTTAGGCGTGAGAAATAAGTCACACCATGTTGCATCATCATTGTAGCGCAGATTTCTTGAACTACAAATCAAACTTCAAGATCGTGAAAATTCAAAATTAAATGTATGTACGTTTTGTAAAAAAAAAAAAAAAAAAAAAAAAATCAAAATCTGCATAAAAAAAAAAAGAGCCTTTCCTTGAGCGATTTTACTTACCAATGTGCTAATATAATCCTAATATAAATGCTAACCTAACGTCAATGAGCTTTAAAGAATTTTGTGACTGCAAATATGCGCCACGAACATGACACACTTCAGACATGCCAAAATTACGTATTTACTGATACATATTTCTATATAATTAAATAAACTTTACAAATGGCGAAAATTTTATCGATTATATATGTTATAGGTGGATCAGGACATCTATAGATTCAGAGCCAACTTAAGTCAATTCTGAATTCTCTTATTTCTGAATACGTATCATAATTAGAGTAGTGTTACAAATCACTCAATCGATTAGTTGATTAATTATGTTTCACTAATAGATTATTGCGCTTTGCAAAATTCTGTGACCCCCCTTGATTACTAATAGTTATAAATGATTGTGATTGTGGTTGTGATTGCGATTGCGATTGTTAAGGCCGGCCAATTTATATAAATCTGAGTTAGATTTATAATAAATTGGCAATCATTTTATAACTATTAGTAATCAAGCGGGTCACAAAATTTTGCAAAGCGCAATAATTCTTTAGTCAATTAGTTGCAACTGATCGATTAGTAGATTAATTGATTAATTGATTAATTGATTAGTTGGTATCTAAAAAGTTTAATCGATTAATTGTCAACTAACCAACTAATCGATTTTTTCAACTTTTGATTTGTAACACTAAATTAGAGTTGGCAAAATGCATTTTTTGCCCACCTCTATTAGATAACCAATAGATTGAAATGATCGACAAAAATTCCGGAAAAACCTTAATTAGTAAAAGTTACCATATGATTGTATATGTTAACGTATGATATTTCTGGAATTTCATGGATTACCACGACGAAGCCGTGATAATATATGATGTCACGGCACACCCGTTGAATATCTGATATATTTTCACGGTGCTCATGAAATAAATTGATATTTTCACAGCATTGCATATTACTGTATTAGGGAGGTAAACGAACTTAGTAGCCAGATAACTATAGCATTTAAGGTATTGGAGATTTTTATGTTGCACAAATGATCAATTTTTTAATGGTTTTCTGCATCCAAAATTTCGAAACCATAATCCCGATGTGACAATTAATATTTTAAAGATTAGTAATTACATTACGTAACAATCATCGTCAGGCTTTAAATTTTTAATTGTCACATCTCGTGATGTCATTATTATGGCCTGTTGAGATTTTGGATGTCGGGATTTTGTGGCAGGACCATTTTTATTAATATTATATTACACTATATTATAACAATATATACAGCGATACGCGATATATGTATATATGTATTAAAAATCAATCTATTTTAAATGATTCAACTCGTTATAGAAAATTGAATTATCCTTAAATTTTCAATTTGCTGTTAAGTGTCGAAACTAAAATTACGTTCAAAAATTCCTTATTAAAATATAAAGGTTGAGACTTTGACTAATATGATTTATATTAAATTTTATGAAAAAATAAATAAAAATTGTATTTAAATGTTTAAGTCAAGACTTTATTAAAAACTTCTGTGAAAATCGAACGTAATTATCTTGAAATAATTCTTACAAATAATTTCAGTTAAGAGAAATTAGAGAAATAGGTGTAATAGTTGTGGGAATCCTTTAGAATTTTTTTTGTGCTTTTTTTAATATAAATTAAAGAATTTAATAATTTAATTTTTTCGTGATAAAAATCTGATCTGACATAGTTTATTACTTAGTCCGTTTATCACCCTAATTACATATAACATTAGGGGCAGTAGAATATAATATACTATTCCCCTACTGAACCATGCTGCATTGTGCATGTGTTTGTTATACTTTTATGGTGCGTATGGTTGGATTACACATTGGGTGTATAAGATCGGCCTAATTACAAACATAGTGCAGGTCATATAATGATGATATTAATCAAGATTTTTTATAGATCAGCGTTAATTAACCCTACTCAATTTTGTTGTATCGTTGTGGTCGTGTATGTGCCGGTTTTTTGCTATTTATGGCTTGCAGT